TTAACTTGCAAGGTCATCACTACTCATGCTGTTCGTGCTATTCAGCACAGCACGCTCATTTGCAATAAACTTATAGTATAAAACAGAACTTTCCTGTACAAGTAGAACATTACCGAATTTAGAAAAAAACTGATCATAACCAAATTCAACAAGAGTAAATACTATGTGTCATTCTTTATAGTGGTTAATTAGTGGTTAAAAAAAATAGTAATTAAAAATATAGTGGTTAATAAAAAAAAACTATTTCGGTTTGAAAAATGTCATCTTTTTGCAAATTTGCCATATTCACCTTTCAATTACAGCAGAGACAGTGCCTGATCCAAAGTGAATCCTTTTCGCTGTGATCAATCACAAATTAAATTATTTATGTTGGATTCAATTGTGATGGATATAATCCCTCATCAGTTTTAATATACATGTTACATTAACGGTCTCTGCTGTTCCTTTTAACTCTAAAATAAACCCAAATCTTAATGCAAACAAATTTCTGAGTTTTACGGGTTATAATGTGTTCTGAAAATCGATGCCAAGGTCTATGAATCTGAGTCAGTGGTCATTAATGGCGGATTTATTTAATTCCCACTGTGATACAAACATATTAAATAACATTCTATTTGTGGTAAATTTGCGTTAATTTTTGAGTCAAGATTAGGGTCATTTTTAGAGTTAGAAGGGCAGAGATTATACTAAAATTTTGCAAGGAATTTTTTTAAAGAAAATTCCTAATTGTACACGGGGTGTTATATACACTGGTATTAATTAATTATTTTACAAATCCTTTTAAGATAAAATTATAAACCAAAAAATTAAATCCGATTTAAAGTTAGAGTAAGGTTAGCTTTAGGGCTAGAAAGGTCATAGGTTATATTAAAATTTTACGAGAAATATTTTTTGTTAGGACTCTAAAAGCTGTATTATTATTATGATATTGAGATATCAATATACCCGTGTTTTATACACTAGTGTTCAAATAGAAATTGCCTTTTTAAAAAACACAGACAAATTTTGCGGTACACCGATCTTGTGATCTAGTGCGATAAGAGTAAAATTCGAATATTAGCATTAAATAGCATTACTAGCCATTTGCTAGAAAATAGCGTTATTTTAGATGCCACAAAATCCACTGACTTTAACTCGAACTGACCATTGAGAGTATTAATTGTCTACCATGCTGTATTTCATGTACTGTACTCATAGATTACGCGAAAAGCTCTACACAAGTAAAATTAGAAAATTGAAACAATAGAATAACGCAATATATTTAAAATAACGAGGCCTCAGTTGATATTTAAAGATATTTTTTTATTGTAAAATTTGAATTACAGGAATTTTGTTACACTAATGGATTATTGCTATATGCAGAGTTTATTTTGATTCATTGCTCTTGCATAAACTGAATTTTTACAGTTGATTAAGCTTATTACTGTAATAGATGAACGGATTGTGTGGCATCAAAATGTTAATGCTCACGCCATAACGATATAGAAATTCTAAAAAATTATATTCTTTGCCTAAATAATTAAACAATGAAAACTAAATGCAATCCAATTAATTATTAATGAATTAGATGCAGTCAATAACTTTATTTGGTCATTAATAATGGCGCAGCAAGTTGAATTTGTCGAATAAGAAAAAAAAAATTGTATGTTATCATTTTCGAAATTTCTATTTTGTGTATACAATCATTAATTAGCTAATAAATTCAGGCCTCATCGCTTGAACAAATAAGAATAGCAATTAATTTTTATGAGTATCGTTGTCAAAGTTATAAAAATTCAATGGTTTGACCTTTTCCAAGAGGATTTGGAGCACATTTTCAAAAAGAAAAATAACAGTACAAATATTATATAATATTATTCTAAATTATTCTAAAAGGACAACGTAATATAAATCATATAAAATGGTGAGATTAGAATACCGTTTTTTTTAACAATTATACTAAATCACACTAGTGGCGTTGACACCACGTATATTATATAATAGTTTACAAATAGGAATTAGGGACAGGTACCCTAAGATGTGTACATTTTTATTTAGTACATCTGATTTGTTGGTTTTTTAGGTAAAGCAACTGTGGTGTTAACACTATTGGTGTGATTTATTAAACTGTTTTTAGGGTCAAGAATTTTATTTAAATTAAAAAAATTCTTAACTTTGTAGATGTTTCGAGTACGTAATTTCCTGATGTTTTTGACCATAGCTCTACTTATAATGGTTCAAACCAACTTTCAAGTAGAATGCGCGCCAACTTATTCCACCATTAAGTCAGGTAACTTGAATTCTTATTATTAATTAACTTCAAATTCGTAAAGCCATATATGACAAATTCTGTTAAACATCTTGTTTTTATCTAGGGTGCCCACCATGTCCCCCGTGTGGTAATACTCTTGTAAAACGAGTTTCATGTGCTATCGCTTGTCCTGCATGTTATTATTAGAGAATTTATTTACGACTTCCGAGATCTTTTAACATTTGTACCTCTAGTCGACGTTACACTTTTTTTTGATCAAATATATTAATACATTCGAATTTTGTAATAAAAATTTCCATAATTCGTTAATTCTAAATTTATAACTTTTAAATTATATTTATTTCCAATTAAAATGTCTTAATGAATGGTTTCATGTGCAGTAAAAAAAAACCATACTAATGATTAACCCATTATACAGTACTAAAAGATAATAATACTGAAATTCTATCACAGTATAGCGCTGCATATAGTACACCGGGTAATATTCAAGGAAGCCGGTTAATACTCCCAGACATTAGGAGATGGACTACCGATTATGAAAATTGGATCACAAATCGTTTTCAAAAAAAATATTATTCTATATGCAGCGCTATACGGTAAAACGAGCTACATTTGACAAAATAGCATAGAATTATTGAGTGGAGAATTTATTAAAATTGGGATCTAAATTTAAACCTGAATATAAAGCAATAAAGGATTATTAGTCTTATACATACCATTTTAATCTGTGTTATGATTGTTTATGGCCTATTGTTAATAGACCTGTTACGATCAAGCTTTAATAGTTAACTTGAATTGATCTTTTAGTAAAACTCTACGATATTGTAGAATAAATTTAATCAGGGTCAAGAATATAGTAATACTGTTAGGTAACTCCTGATTTCTTAAAAGCAAATCGACGCCCGGATGTAAAATTTACACGTCGGCGTAATTTTAAGAAATCATCTATCCATTAAGTTTTTTTATGATTTACAAGTTTCTCAAAATTTTGCAAACCGCAATATAAGCATAATACTTGTAAAGAGCCTATATGATGACCACAAAACAAGAAATTTAAGATATATATGTAGGAACATGTTTTACTAAGCTTTCACCTAAGAGACTACTATGCAATATCAAACTTCAGCGCTACAAATTCCAAATGTAGTACGTACATAGGATACTGACAATTTATGGTTTCAAATGCTTACGATTTACACGGAAAAAAATTACTTAACAAATGAGAATTCTATTATGGCACTTAGTAGAATTGGTTTAAAAAGATATTAATCAATTGAACAATAATGAACTTTTTGTTAAAGAGGGAGGGAAACCTTTTCCCACAAACTTTCCTCGTGATTCTAATATAGATATCGGGATTAGTACAATGCTAAATACAATTTGATTGCTAGACTGATTAGTTAAATGATGAATGTATTGGTATGATTTCATATACTCTCTAGAGATAGAGAATAGAATATATACATTAATTATAAGTTTGGACCAAACTGGACTGAGTATTTAGAGAGGGTTTAAATAGTACTTGCCGCTCAGGGTGTGCAATTAGCGTTAGAGGTGCAACTGTATATATCAGTATATGAGTAACTTAAAGTGTCATAGCATTAGCAATTTATGACGAAGAAAAAGTAATTATATTAAATTTAGTTAATCAAGGACGTAAAAGGTAATATGGGATTTAAGTTCTGAACCGAGACTACCTCAACTCTACTTTATTATACGAAACCCAACATAAATGAGCTTTTTGTACAATGATTATTATTTTCCGAGCATCATCCTATGCCCTACCAATTTTAAGTTCCAAATGACCGATTAACATCCTTAGCTTAATGAAATTGTTACTCTTCTCTCTTTTACTTATGAGATAAATGAGATATCGGCCTTTTATCAAATATAATTGGGATATAACGGATATTACATTTATGTTAGAAATTAAGTACCAATGTAAATAAAAGTTTTATTATAAATAAAGGGCCTTCCGCCCAAGGGGAAAGCAACGGAAGATACCCCCAAGTCAATACATTTTTGCAATACATAAAAATACGTTCCTGACCCATATTAAAAGTGAAGTATACCCATCACAAACTAATAAACTATCGTTAAACCCCTCGATATCCATATCGTTTGCCTCCTTGCAAATCACTAAACCGCGTTCGCCGTAAGCCACGTGACCCAGCCGTTAGCGCAAGAGAACTCCGACCCCGATTCTACGTATCGTAACCCCAGTTGAAGAATAGGTTGAAGGAAAGACTTAGAAGAGAAGAATAATACTTACCTACGGATAAACCACCCAGCCAAATCTAACACGCCTATTTCGACTTAGCCGTCGTAGGTTACACGAAGAAATTAGCGACAGACTCGCCGATTTGCCGCGCAACACTATTAAGTCCTAACTACGCATTTATGTACACATAGAACTACACAATAAATTCGAAACAATAGAATAGAATAAGGTGTAAGATTTTATTATTATTCTTATTATTTATTATTTAACCTCCTGACCTTATCGTCGTGTGACGTTCTTTATTAGTAAAACAATGTTATTTACAATACATTACGTAGCGATAGTGAATATATACAGATTTACAGCAGGGACAGTGCCCGATCCAAAATGAATCCCCTCCCGCCTGTGATCAATCGCAAATTAAATTATTTGTGTTGGATTCAATTGCGATGGATATAATCCCTCACCACTTTTAATATATGTGTAACATTGACGGTCTCTGCTGTTATACAGATTTAATTTTTTAACTTATTTACAATATTTTTGAATTAATTTTTTCTTTTTCATCCATTTTGTTCCTTCCAACAACGCCTGAACTTCTTTCAGGATTCTATTTTTCCAAATTGATTCAATGGCTGATTCCTGAAACGACGATTCTCCCCATCTAGTGTTTGTGTATAAGAACCAAATTTCATACACTGCAGTAATATGTAACCAGATCACCAGTTTGTGCAGTCTAATCTCTCGTACATTATTAATTCAATATTTGTTGGAGGACTTGCCCCTAGGCGAAAGATTTAAAGTAGTCTTAGTTGAGAGTTAAAGTTAAGATTGCAAAATTTGAATTACCGGAGATTTTCTTTTAACTCCAGGTTAAACTTGCTCACGCTGATAAATTATACGCAGAATTTGCTCGAACCCATTTTTTTATTTCCTAATTTGAAAGATTACAGCGATTTGACAATCAAATCAAATTCAAATAAATCGTAAATTTTTGCGAAGCAACAAAGAACAAAAACCTAAAAGATATGCAAGAAACAGATGCTGAACTTATCTTGAAAACCAATAAAAATGTCGGAAAAGATAAAATTCACCCAGTTCTTATCGAACTCTTCTAAATAAGGAAATAAAAAAATGGATTAATAATGTAATACGTATAAATTGTTTGATTGACTCATTTCTCTTGCGTAACAATGAACTGACCTTTATAAATAAAGTGAGCCGATTAAGCTTATTAACAGGTGAACAGATGCATAGCGTCAAAATTCTAATGCTCACACCATAGCGAAATATTAATTTTCTGTTTAAATAATTTAACAATAAAAAAACTAAATGCAATCCATTTAATCATTAACGAATTAAGCTTGGTGAATAGTAACCTTATTTGGTTATTAACTAATGGCGCAGCAAGTTAAATTTGTCGAATAAGACAAAAAATTATTCACATCATTATTGAAATTTATATTTATGCATACAATCATTAACGCGCATAGATCATAATAGTTAACTAATAATTTCAATGCTCCAATACTTGAACAAATAATGAAGGGAATTTAATTTGTAAAAGTATCGTTGTCAAAGCTATAAAAGTTCAATATTCTGACCTTTATCAAGAAGATAAGGTGCTTATTTTTCAAAAAGAAAATAATCAAGTATAAATTATATATAAACATTTACAATATTTTTTCAAATCACAAAATGGTAAGATATTCAATTAATGGAATAATGTTTTTTTTTAATATCAAAAATAATGTCGTTTAAACTGACAAATACTTTGCAGATGTTTCGAGTGCGTGATTTTCTCATGCTTTTTGCCATAGCTCTGCTAATAATCGTGCAAGCCAATACTCAAGTTGATTGCGCGCCAACTTATTCCACTGCTAAGCCAGGTAACTCAAATTTCTTATAATTAACTGATCTTAAATTTCATAATACATAATATGGCAAGTTCTGTTAATATATGATTTTTTTCTAGTTTGCAGACAGTGCCCCCCGTGTTCTGGTACTGTTAAAAAACGAATTGTGTGTGATATGGTTTGTCCTGATTGTGCATACGTGGCAATATCTTAAAATTATATCTCTAGTCGATGCTTAATTTTTTAATCAAATATATTGAATTTTGAAATAAAGATATTCATATTCATTAATTAAACCTTTAAATTAATATTATGCCGTTTTTTAAAATTTCCAAACTAATGTTCATTCCAGGTTAAATGATAATGATTTCGCGTGTAGTGAAGAGACTACTAATAATTAGATATGTGCGAATGCACGTTTTTTTTTTTAATTTGCATTCCATAAGTTACGCAATCATGTATTCTGACAGAGGATCCCTAATTTTTCCTACGTACCAGTTCTGATCTAACGTGTGTGAATAAATAAGGTAGATTTTTGCCCTTGTTTAGCAAGCCTCATAGTTTCTGTAGGCAGTAAAAGGTCCTCATGTTTGATTATTAGGCTTTGCAGCTATGATAGCAATGCAAAGCATCATGAGTTTTGGTAATCAGTCTCTACAAAGATAGCAATACAAGGACCTACGCATACTGATATGTAGAATTCATGCTACTACATAATAATATCCAATTCTCATTATAGTTACAATTGATAATTCTTTACTATTTTATCAGTTTCTAAGAATTGCTTCTTAATCTCATTTGCATCAATCTAGACTTTTCATGATTAATTCTATCTTTTAAATTTCAAATAAACATCTGGCCGTTTTGGTGAATCAGCATCCATGAATTGTTTAACGAATTCGATATAGCAAATAAAAAAAGCAAACTGAAATTGTATAATTGTCTTTTGTTGTCAATGTAATGTAATAATTAAGTGCTGTAATGTGAATATGAGTATATTAGATTTTATGCACATCATATTAACATGAATATTAAATTATATAAATGAGATATTACAATTTGCTGCCTAAAATTGATTTTGTAAAATATTTTGTGTGAGAATAAAATTTACTTCTCTTATTAACCATATCAGCGTAAGATTTTCAAGTTTGATTTTTGTTTTGTTCAATTCCAATAAGATTTTTCATCATCTTGTCATTTTTTAAAAATTTCAGAGTTTTTTTGCTGATGGATGATTTTTAAGATCCTCGCCCCAAAATTCTCTCATAAAATCCACATAACACGAAGTTGCCTCTTTATTAATAGGTAGCGTAAACCTCGTTACATATTTGCAATCGAAGATCGGCTTCATTGATTTACCAACAATATAAGATACTGTTACTCCATACAAGACTTCGCACATGATTATCCCAAATGAATAAATATCAGTAACTTGAGAGTAATTATGACCAGATAGCACTAGCACTTGTGGATCGATATCGCCTCATTTAATGACATTGAAAGACCTAAATCTGTGATATATGCGCTATCCAAAGTATCTTGTAAGATATTTCCACTACGCAAATCGCGATGAATCATTTCTTGAGAATGTATTACTTCAAGATCGGTGACTATACATTGAAATAAAATAAAATTTTTTTCCATTCCATTTGTGAAACATCTTTAAGATCCTTGCGTAAAGAACCTATATTTTCATATTTCAGAACAATTATATATCTTCCATTTTTTGGATGTCTTGGCATTTCATAGTATTGTAAGCATGAAGGATTTTTTTATCCGATTTCACAAAATCTTGTTAACTATTAAGAATAAATAATTAATTGGTTTAGGCTAATTAAAATCATAATACTTAATGATTTACCTCATTTGTAAATTCTTGATTATGTTTTTCCGAATTATCAATTATTTTGAGTGCAACACCTATTAAAGCATTTGGTCTTTTATCAATTCATACAGTTGCAAATCCACCTTTGCATATCAGCCTAATATTCGTAAATTCTTAATAAGAAATCCATGATAATTGATATCTCTCATCGTCCAATATTTTAATTAAATTATTATCAAGGCCAGGAAGATATGATGATTTAATTATTTCTTAACGTTAAAAAATTTCTATTAAATTCTAACTAGAAATCGAATAAACCAAACAAAAATGTAAAATACTCTTCATACTATAAGAATTTTAATTCGTAAAAATTAATAAATATTTTATAATAAAATATTTATTACTTTTTGTATCAAACATTAGCATGTCATCTGAAATTATACTGCCTAAAATTACTAATTGTTGCGGCTGATGCTGAAATTTGGACCTATTTGGGTAATAATTTTTGAAATCGGACCAATTACGTAATCAATTACATATCTATCACTAATGTATCAGTATTAATAATTTTTATTTATAAAAAAAAAAACTTTTGATTTTTTTTTTATCCATATAAGGATTTTCTATTATGCTAGTACAAAATTATTATGCCTAATGAAAAAATAAATCAAATAATTAATAACATTAAAATTATGCATGCTAATGCAAACCTAAAAAATAAATCAAACATACTTTCTTCATTAGCAAAAATTTTAAGCTGATCAAAACTTAAAGATATTGAATTTTGTTTCAGTAATGATCAATTTAAGACTGCTGTTTGAAAGGTCAATCAATTATTATTTTTATTAACTGATTATTAAAGGGTTATACCATCATCACAATCATTTATTAATGAAAGTACAAAGCAACTTATTAGTGAATTTCTTTATAATAATTCATGAAGATCATCAATTACAAAACAAAAACAAAATTCTGAAATAAATGAAGTGTATTTTTTAGAAAAATCAAAACATGATATATATTTTAAATTAAAATTACAATATCTGGATATCAAACTTAGTCTTAGTTCATTTTATAAATTATATTCAAAAAATTTCAAAAAAACTTAAAAAAAACTGATATGTGTTAAGTATACATTAAGGAACAACAAGTTGAAAGAAAATTACAACAACTTATATTTATAATATCATCAACTAATTCTATTATTCTCAATAATTTGCAAGAAATGATTAATTATTATTATCATCATTATAATTTTAAGAATTAATAAAATTATTTTTATAAGTAATTAATTGAACATATAACAACTTCATTCTATATGATTGTGATGGATTTCAAGGAAAATATTAGAATTGAAAATAGTTCAGTCAAGATTGGAAATAATTTTTTTAAAAAACTCAAGTATCTGTTCTTGAATTTGCAGTACATTATCATGAATCTGATCAAAGCTTACATATACAATATTTTGATTACTTTTCTGATATTTTAAGTTATAATATATAATTTATTATAGATTGTATTACAAAGCTTCTTAGTTATTCTTTTATGCCAAAGTTTCATGAAGCTTATTTTTAGTCAGATTGTAGGTCTTACTTTTGTTTTGCTAAATTAATAGTTTTTTTTTTGATACATACCTTCAGTATACCAAGAAAAAATTTATTTAAATTATTTTACAGAGTATTATAAAAAGAATATCATTGATAATCGTTTTGGTGTATTATCTAGATAGTTTTTAGAAGCCAAAGTTATATAAAATATTTATACAATTGATGATTTGATTAATTTTTTTTGAGAAAAAGCTAATCAAAATTATATAAATATCTATATTTCAATAATGAACTTTGATATTTATTCATGAACACAATGTCGATAAAATATTTATAAATTATGTATTAATAATTTTAAATCATATCAATCATTTGTATAGATAAATAACAAGCTTTATGCTTCTACACTAAGTACATTAATTGATACAGATTATATGGAGATTAATTATAAAATAAAAAATATTAAAGACAACAAAAAAACAAAATATATACCAAAAAAACAAATATTAAATATAGAAGTTTTGGTTATAATAAATATAAAAAGTAGACAAATATTAGAAACTAGAATTAGACTTTCTAATAGATTTTTACAAAATATAATAATATAATATAATTTTATAGCTCAAAGTAAAGATGATAACCAATAATAGCTTTGGGTTCAGTTATCTTTCTTCTATGCAGGTCTTATTTCATTA